CTTTATTTCATTTTATTTTTTCATGTCATTTCATTTTATTTTAAATTACTTTTATTATCTTTCTTTTCATTTTATTTCACTTTGTTCTATTTCATTTTACTTTATTTCATGTCATTTCATTTTATAATTTGGCTATACCAATTGATTAAAGGTGGGGGGTCTTCGCGACTCTTTATGTGGATGTACATGTTGCCATGATTAATAATTTGTATGTTCGACTATTTTTTTTCTCACTATTTCCTGACATAATAGCAATGTATAATTCAAATTTGAATAAACATTTTGTTAAAAAAGTTCTTACTGATTATGCTTTACAGCCTGTAACGCTGCACATCGTTTCTTGTTTGTGTGTCTCATAGTTTTGTGTCATGACTTCAAGTCTCTCAGAGCAAAGATGTCCTGTGGTCATGCTGTCACTCCAATGTCTCTCACCATCTGGTGTTTCTGTTTGCTGGAGAAGGTACACTAATGACGTCATCACATTCCCTTCATCATAAAACTCAAACATGTTTTAGTGACTAACTTCTGCATAGTGGCAGCATGTGTACTTTACAGGAGGTTAAAAATATAGACAAAAAAAGAAGACAGAATATAACTTAGCTGATAGAAGAAACACATTAACCAATCATTTTCCCACTCTGAAACTTTTCTCTTTGATTTTTATAATATTAAAGGGTGAGTGCAAATTTGTGTGTGGCCAGACTGACTGTGATGCTGAGTGGCCCTTTGAGGAGGTTTGTAAAATGGCTCTTCTGACCCCTGAAGAAACTGAGTACTTTGAAAGTAAAATCTTCAGCAACGCTGCAGAGACTTTCTTGGATGTCAAAGTGGTGAGTATCTCAGTTACATTATTCAAAACTGTTGATAGAAATCATAGTTGCTTGTTGTCAGGGACGGTTTTTGCTATGGGCAATGTGGGAGACCGCCCAGGGTGCAATCTATGTGAGGGCGCACGAGTGCCCTCCAAAAAAACCAAAAAAAACCCCAAAACTCAGCAGTTTTCTAGACTACCGCTCATTTTCACGTCAAGTTAGTGGAGTGGGCGCTGGGGCGCCCCTATTATCACGTTTCAACCAGCAGCAGAAAGGAAAGGCGAATCCTGGCGGTTGTGGGTTGAACGGGGGTCACAGACAGGAATACGGCGGAGGCTCATAGTGCTCTGCGGCGCAAGATAACGGCTTACCGGCCGAGGGATGGTTCGCCCAGGGCGTAAAACTAGCCAGGACCGCCTCTGGTTGTTGTGAATACAGCGTTTGAATGTAAAAACATCTCATTGTGTTTTAACGTCACTCCTCAGTGTCCTGGATGCCAGTCTCGTGTGATGAGAACTGACCTCCATGATCTCAGTGTCCAGTGCCCAGTGTGCACAGCGAGGAGAAGAAGGGCTTATCGGTTCTGCTGGCAGTGTTTGAAGAAGTGGAAAGGTCCAGCTCCACGTTCAGACCGCTGTGGGAATACAGACTGCCAAGACCCACTGGAAATACTGAGAAACTGCCCAGATATCACCTTCAAGGATGTGGAGGGGGTCACTGGCTGTCCCTCCATCCGTGCCTGTCCCACCTGTGGTGTTCTGGTGGAGCATAATAGAACTTACTGTAAAAATGTTTACTGTGTGCGGTGTAAGGTGGAGTTCTGTTTTGTGTGTCTGAAGCTCACTAAAGAGTGTGCGGATGTTGAAAACATATCTTCATTTTATGAACTTTGCCCCAGTGGTGTCGCACCGAGACAGACCTCTATACCTGTGTGGCAGAGGACATGATCCTGCAATTCTTCTTGATAATCATCATCACTTTTATTACTCAGACAGGAAGTCATGCCAGCTGTATATAAGACTTACAGACTAAGACAGGGCTACTTTGTAAGATTTGGCACAGTGTCACATGAGAATCACTTCCTTCTGTTCACAGTTAAACATTTACACAGACAATTTCTGCTGTAAACCCAAAATTGTAGTGAACATTTACAGAGTTAATATTTATAGTCATATTTAAAACTATGTGTATTCTTTTTCTGTAGGAGTCATGTTTACTGTCATCTCATTGTTACAGTATGCATTCATTCTGATCTGCACAATGTCTTTACTCAATTTAATTTTAATTGATTTATCGTTGTTTTATTTTGTGATCATGTAGCCTATTTATTCTTCTGATGTAACAATATTGTTTTTTCTGTGTAATAAAGATAAATAAAAATGTACTGGTGGTTTGAATAAATTTGATCCTATATCGCTTCCTGCACAAGGTCCATTATCTTAAACTGATGTTGGAAATTATAGAAAATATTATGGTAGCCTGATTTTATGTTTTAGGAACTCTTAGACAGCATTAGATCTATAATTAGTAACTAAGGAAGTGTCTAATTTAAATGACTAAACATTACCAAAACTCATTCTGCTTTGCTAAAAATTTGCAGTTTTCTATTTCCTTTTGTCTTTTCCAGTATGAATCTGAGTATGATATTACATTAGTGCATGAAAACGGTTTGATTTTTGGATTTTGGCAACTACAGCAGCACACAACAAACCATGGTGAGAACAGTCCTAAAGTCAGATACAGTGTAGAGGCAGCATGTTTGGTTTGGAATTGACAGCAAGAGGAATCAGGTCATTCTACATATTTGTTCCTGCCCATCACCAGCATGCAGCACAATTATTTTTGCACTTGATTCTTTTCCAATCACTGACTGAATATTATAACCATATCCTTGTTCTTGTTTTCAGAGAATGTTGTCGAACTACTTTCAGGTACTTGCACTTTCCCCTGCTGATCAAAAAGTGTTTTGATCAGTAGGAAGTCATAGGAAGAACTCTAGCTTCTGTAGAAATCCTTGATTCCTCAAACAAGAGGATATTAAGGTGCTCTGCAGTAATATGTAAATGTTAATTTATGGACATCTGAAATGGCACAGTTTGGTGATGTACCACAGGGGTCTGTTCTTAGACCCCTTATTCTATTTAATTTATATTGCTAATTTGCTTTGTGCTAATTACACTAGCTTGATTCTTTAACATAAATCACGTCACATTCAGTGTTTCTCACGAACACATTGTGACTCCTTGCATCCAAGGTTATGAATAATTCCACAGAGGGATATGTCTCTCTGTGGTTTGATGTAATTAAGGTGACCACAGTGACTCTTGGGTAGTTACAGGGTAAACCCAATTCAAGATGCTGCTCCATCATTTTGATTAGTTTACAAGTGCCAGTATTGACTGTGACAAACCTCAGTGACTGACACATTTAATTACTGACTTTGAATCTTTTCAAGGAAGCATAGACTAAAAATAGAAAACCACCTGCTTGACATTAATGAAGCACATGTTCCGTGTATTAAGTCCAAAAAACTAACCGGTAAAAGAAGAAAACTTCCTTCAGTGCAAATCAAACACTCAGTCATGGTTTACCATGATTTGGATGTTCTTTGTATTTCCAGTGTAAATATAAAGCATGTTTTTGTGGTTCAGCCTGATTTGGTACCAACATTTAACACCTCTTAACAAATTCAGTCACTCCTATAAAAACACAGAACACAAAAATGATTGTCATCTGATTCAGAGGATCCCTCACCAACTTTAATTACTGTAGGATTCAACTCTAATCAGTTTCAGCCTTTTGTGTATTAATGTTTACTTACATGTGCAAACAGTTTAAGCAAATAAAACATGGTTCCATTTTTTTTCCCAACCACAATTATTGTATTTAATACGCAAGTGTTTGGCCAGTCATCAGATTCTGGGTGAAAATTCTTCTTAAAGTCCTTTGCATTCTTGCACACATCAACGACCTTCACCTCTCCTTTGGGGTCGTGTACAGCCAGCTGAATAACCATTTGGCTGCTGCATCGGTTCAGTGAAGACTGCCGGCTGTGTGTAGGGATAGATGATTCTAATGTAGCCTCATCGATATCAGGTTTAGTATATAAAGGGTTTGCCTCGCCTTAATATCACATGACTTAAGGAAGACGAACCGCCCTCCTCTTTACCTGTGCAGACAGGGCAGTCACCTGTCAGAGGAGAGCGTGGATACACTGAGTGAAGACAGGCAGAGAGGAGCCCTAACACTGCACACAGAGGAGGGATGGCTCTGCAAAACAGAGAAGAATCTGAAGAGGAGATAAGTTATGACTTCCAAGACCTGAGAAGGAGGTTCATACATTTAGAGGAGAGGAGTCATGTCTCTCAACAAAGCAGACACATGGCACGTTTAGAGGAGAGGAGATATGACTTTCAGCGACTTAGACACAGATTCATAATTGTGGGGCAGAGGAGTCATGACTCTCAACAAAGCAGGCGTTTGCCACCTGAAGAGAAGGCTCATAACTTTGAAGAGCTGAGAAGCAGATTCATGAATGGAGAGGAGGAGAGTAAAGACATCAGGAGAGGAACAACTGGAGAGAAATGTTATGACCCTCGGGACACCACGCTGACATTTGTACAAGGAGAGGATGAAATGGATTGTAAGTAGCAAAGTTTTACATTTACAAAGCTATATTGTTGCCTACTGTTGGATTTCAAGTTCCTAATTGTACCCTGTAACACTGCACATTTTTTCTTGTGTGTGTGTGTGTCTCATAGTTTTGTGTCATGACTTCAAGTCTCTGAGAGCAAAGATGTCCTGCGGTCATGCTG